GCACATGCAGATCCCAGGGCGCTGCCTATCCCGTTCACAGTCCCAGCAAAGCATGAGCAAGTCTAACGCTCAGGAGCACGGACACAGTTTCTCCTCCTCCCCAAGGCATCACTCCTACGTCAGACACAACCAGAGGCTCCCAGCGCCGATCGCACCCCGCCTCCCAGCCACTCCCCCCACCCCTGCCAGGTTTCTGTCGGGTGCCCAGCCGGAAAACCAGAAAATACCAGACATTGCACATGTCCGGTATTTTCTGAATTTTTTTAATGGACAGAAGGCCCAAAAACTGGACTGTCCGATTGAATACCGGACACCTGGCAACCCTACATAAAATGGGTATCTTCATGAAGTATATTTTAATTTGCAATGGTTTTTAACTTTTTAAAATACAGGAAAAAGTAAGAATTGAGAGTCAAAGTGTGGTATGGTTAGCAGTATTAGTGATGTGCAAAACCAATTTATTTGTATTTTAAAATTCATACCAAATCATAACCCATTGAAATTAAGCAAGCTCTGAAATCATCATGGTCCATCAGCCCATTCTTCTTCTATTGAAGGAATATATGAGAGAAGGTTTGACGTATCAAAGACAGGCAGGAGACCATCACAATTTCCATACAGATGACGAATGTGCATCATCAGAAGATTGGATCCATGGAACAAGAGGATGTTCATTGGAGGGATTGCCAAAGCAGGTCATGAGGAGTATCATCAATTTAAAGGAGGAAGTAGCTAACACATTACGCACATGAAACAGACACGCCACAGAGAATAATACCAGAAAAGGGGCCGGTTGAGTACAACATAGGAACATACAGAGCACAAACAGAAAGGAGAGAGAGGCAAGGAAAAAAGTTTGTCACTGAACTAGCCAAAGTCAGGAAAGGCAGGCTGGTTCACTGCGATACAATATACTTTTTAGATTTCAGCCATGGAAGGTTTATTAGAAATTATAGTAATTTTAGCGACTAGAAAGCGTGCCTAATTGCTTTTTGAAAATACTCTATTCCTGAGCCAAGGCAGACTTGCGTTGTGTGCTGCTGCATGGTAAGTGCATTCAAGAATTCTCTCTCTTCTGATCTCTAGCTAATGGGACTCCGACAACTGTAAAGATATGAGCCAGTGGGGCTGAGGTGTTAGTTTGTATCCAACAGAAGTTGGTCAATGGTAAATCTCTTATTAAAGGAGGATGCCCATTTTCTCAACAGCAGGTGAGTGGGACATTCATAGCTAATTGCAGGGAGTGGACATTAAAATGGGGTGGTGGTAGAAGCTAACCAAAAGACAAGATGGGTAAAAACCACAGAATTAGCCAGTACATCTCACAACAGAACCCTATTGCCATAGGTCCTTCCAGAGGCAGAGGGAGGTGCTCCCACTTGGAAGTCTGAGCAGGGGACAATGGGAACAATGAGTGTGTGAATGACTCGCAGCTGGCTCACTGGAATCCAAGCAGACTCCCTTGGAACAGACAGAAGCAGTAAAATGCAAATATTTTTTAAAATCAGCTACATGTGAGTTTAAATCCAAGTCTCTTTAAAATAGTACACTACCAGTCTATAAGAAAACAATAAAACATCAGTTTTCTCTACCTGAAGGTCATTTCCAACCTGTCCTAGACTGATGAGGCAGGCTTTAAATTCGTCAGGCTGCAGATCACCCGATTCATCCTAGTATCACATCATGGATCATGCATGCAGAATGTGCAAGGAGGGGGGGAAGTCATAAAGTGGGTTAGTTGGTTAGTAAAGAACACTGCAAAGTCATATCAATAATGGTTTGTTAAGATGGAATCTGAATAAAAATAAGGAGGATCCATTACATTGTTTACTTTTCCCAGATCTTCTTAAGACCCTTTAAGATGAGGATCTGCTCTGAACATTTATTATAGAAGTAGAATCATATTTGTCTCCCAAAGATGCCAGATCCAATTTGTTCAGTTTGCCAAGGATTTTTTTCTTTAATTACCCCCTCCCCCACAAGAGCTCACGCCAGATTTTCAAAACTACACTGTTTCTTCCATTCCAGTTCACACCGCACCCATAACCCTAACCAGCTAAGGCATATTATAGATTTAGTTAAGGTGCATGCAGTTAATGTCTGTCCCTAGAATCTGGAAACTGTTTCCCGTATTTGTCTGACAGGGTCATAGTTCAAGATCTAACTTTTTTCTGTGGCTTCTGTGTGAGGAAAAGTATCTCGGTCAGCTGATGAGTAATTTTTAAGAGATAAATAGGCGATTATGTTGGCTCTATATGCGGTCAACCTGACAACGAGCAGTGACTAAAGTGGGAAGGAAATTTTGAGTGGGGTTTGTTGAAACTGGTAATTACCAGCAACACCTTCACCTTTCCTAAATTTCAGATAAATATTAAGGTCTCGTATTTTCTGGACAGCACCATATTTCAAACAATTTACCAGCATATTTCTCTTAGCACATCCATTAGTGCTGGTTCACAACTCCCAGACTCCCCCCCAGATGGACATTAAAATGGCTCCAGGGCCAAGGAGGGCTCATTTATTTCTAAGGCAACACATCAGTGTTTCTTAAATCAAAACAATATGAAAATAGGAACTAACAGCCAAATCCTGTCCCTCTCCAAGCATAAAAGGTCAGGCCAGTGGAGGAACCAGGGAGACACAACCACACATAGTTTGGTGGGGGACAAAATTTGTGTGTGCACGCCTGCAGGGTGTGGGGGGGCAGACTGAAGATGTGGAAATGTGAGTCCAGTGGATCCAGTGCTATATATACCCATCAATCATTCCTTCTGCAGAGGACAGAGAGAAGGTTGTACAGTTGCCAGTGTCCATTTCATCCTCTGGATGGGATTCCCCAGTGTATGGCCTAGTTGCTTGTTCTATGTACTGGGGCAGGCTCTAAGGCTTAAGGAATTTTGTAATGGGCATCAGTCTTGATCCAGGAAAGACATCCCTGCCTCTGTCACACAAGTTATGGACATGCTGGAAATGGCTACACAGTGTTTACCCTCATGTACCATACCTCTTCCCAAGTTCTCCATACTGCAAGAGGGAAGCATATGCTCTTTAAGGAGCTGCCAGATCTTTCTCAAAGTTCCTACTTCCCCATAATGGATTCTTCTAAACTGTAGGTTGTAATTTATCTGGACCGGATGGTTCTGCCTACTTTTAATAGCTCTAATTACTCAATTATCTGCAGCAGTGCTTTTCAAAAGCATGCCATTTCTTTCTCACCCCGGGACATGTATCCCTGTCTCTCCTTTCCGAGTGAATACACAGAGGAATTATTCTACATCACAATTACATTTAAGGCCTCCATACAATGAAGTACATATGTCACTGACTCCTGAGGATGTACTCTCTCCTTGCTTCTCCTGAAGATACTTGAAAATTCTACTTTTTTTCTGAAGTGCCAGATACCAAATGTTGACCATCAAGTTCCAATATACACCAACTACAAATCCAGATACAAGTAGCCACTTTGGAGTTGAGGAGCTAAGAAATGGAATACCAGGGTGGAGATGGAAGGCAGGGTGGGTGAGGCTAGCTTTGGGTATGGGATAGACAAAGGCAGACCAGGAATGGATGAAGCCCTGTGGAACCCAGGATAGTTTTCAGGGAGTCCAGCTGGTAAGAGGGAGAAGGTGAAGGATTCTTTACAGCCCCCTTACTGGAAGACACTGGAGGAAGAAGGGAGCAGGCTAGTGCTATATTACTGAAAATGGCTGCTGTAGTTGAGATTTGCACTGGATTTTGAAAACAGATTTGTAGGAACATCTACCCAGCAAAACTGCGTGCAAATAAAGTTTTCCACCTGGGTAAGTCACTAATATCCCTATTCTTACGTATGAAAATCACTCTGTTTGCATTAAATAGCTTTGTTCTGTTACTGTAACAATAGCTATCTCTTTATTTATCACTTAGAGTTTTATTACTTCTTTCATTTTTTGATTGCACTGAGAATCACCAGTAGAGCATGTTACATTCTTTTTGACTTAATTCATTTCTAACTAAGGAACTGAAACATACAGTCCCTGAGCATAGAAAGGATTTACATTGAAAACTATTGTAAACCCTGCCAACATCCTGAATAGAATGTACCTATAGGGGCAAGTTACTGATCTTTTTCTTTTTCGTTTTATTGTAACAGGCTACTACTTTAATGTAAGGGACGACATCAATTTGGAGCATGTACAAAAATATCCAAACAGCCCCCTCCATTGTTTTAACAGGTTGTTACAAGCACTTATCTAGCTGTCATTCTCTCTGACTTTGAATTCCACAGTAAGAGCAGATGTTAATCTTTAAATCATCTGCATAATAAATGCTACAGTTTTAGACAGTAAGTCTCCTCTTTTTATTTTATCTTTTTTACTTTAAAAATGATCCATTTTAGTATGTCCTATTTTTTTTCCCAAGAGATATTGATATTTGGACTACAAAGACACAAGGTGATACTGACTTGCTTTGGGAGTACGGTTAGATGAGAAAGAAATAGGAGTACTGTACCCTATCAAAATGATTGAATGATGCTCTGAATTCATTCATTTGCACTTGGGTGATACCCTTGGCGTCTCTTGTAAGGATCTGCGTCTCAATCTCATTGATAGTTCGGGCAATGGTGGTCAGTAAGAGTTCCCATCCAACACGGATATGCTGTAGGGGAGAAAACATCAATTCCTTAGTCTGGTGAAGAAAACATGAACTCCTAGCATGATAACAAGGACAGTAAGAGAGAAACCAATTATGCAAACTGAAATACTTCTACACATTGTTCTTTGGTGTCACTACCTGCATACTACTATGATTATGGATCCACGGGACATGTAATAACATGCAAAAATATTAAGTTAGTTCCTAAAGTGGTGTCTGTTGATATTCTCTGTTGGTTCTTGTTTATGTTAGCCATAAAGTCAGCTGTAGGCTTGAACAGCAACACTTGATTCAAGAGCTGTTGTGTTCTTGAGCATTAGTTTAATTCTGGACAGTATTTGGTTGACCCAACATGCTTCCCAAGTTTTCAAGTTATTGCCACTTTCCCATTGTGAGCCCCAATTCTTTGAACACTTAAACCTGGGAGTTACTTTGCACATGTGGCAGTCTCATTTAATTCAATTGGATTACCCCTGTGTGTAAAGACACTCATATATATGTGTCAACAGGATTGGGGTCTTGGTTGGTAATCTGTCATGGAAAACATGCGGGAAAAGACATAGCTTTATCATGACACAAAAAATGCCACAATATTCACAAAAAAGGAAAAGTCATAGCAGAATATACTTGAAAGAATGCATTTTTGTCATGGGAAATTAAGAGGAAAGTCAAATAAATGTCCTTTATGTCTCAGTTAAAACACTTAATTATTTTAACAGTTCAAACCCATACAACGATCCATGTTCCACCCTCCACAAACATACACAGAGTCCACAATGTCAAATGTATGAAGGAATCTTATGCTCTGATCTTCCAACCAGCTCCATCCTGGACTGGGATCTCTCTCAGACAGTGACAAAGATCATAAGGTTTCATACAAAAAAGACCAAAAGTCATGAATTTGTCACAGAAGTCATGGCCAAGAAACTGAGCCTTACTAATGTATATCTTCCACTGAAATTAAATTAGGAAGTCTGCCAAATTCTTTGCTGTTACAACCCCCTCACACTAGGGAAATGGACCCAACAAACAAAGAGCACAGAACTGAATGCATAGCTACCTCCATAGTATAACTGGTGTGCTTGTTATCAAACACCAGGGCTTCTTGTATAAGCTGATGGTCTCCTTCCAGTTTGTCAATATTGATTTTGTAGTTGATGATATTGTGTTCATGCTGCTTCAGTTGATTCATCTGGTCCTCCAAGGGTCCTGTCAATTCAATAGAACTACGGGCAATTTCCTGTCACACAAAAAGACAAAAATTGAAACTTCAGGTGTATTAGTTTGCCACACATTTATGTGGAAAATGTATCCCTAATTTTCATTAAAAATCAGTGTCAAAACTCCCTCCAAATGAGAGAATTTAGTCTGTTGCACACAGGATAAAACTGGGACAATCATGTCTTTGCGGAAAGAGCACAACCAAACAAGTCATCATCTAGGAGAGGATTTCAAAGGTTCTGCTCACATGGATTGTTACTATGAGTCAGGTGTCTGTTCTTTGTGCCCTTGAAAATCACCCCTCTACTGCCTCCATTTTCTTCTCAAAAATCTATTCCAAAATTACTTCAATTTGTCAGACGGGTTTTTATTTGCTTTTACAAGCGCTCCTTTAGAACACTTCTTTAAAATTCCTGGTTACATGAATGCTGGAGTGCTGGTTTTGTGCAATGAAGGCCACTAACGTTCTGTGTGTGTACAGCTGGGAGTATTCTGAGAAAAATAATACATGCTGTAGTCAGCAGCCTCCTCTTGATGCCTCAGAGATACCCACCTCCATCTTGGTCTGGATCCATGGCCCAACAACATTAGCCTGAGCAGCAAATTGGCGACGCAGCCGTTCATTAGCATGCTGGCGGGCCAGCTCTTCCTGCAAAGATTGATCCCTCACAGGCACAAGTTGTTTCACCTTCCCATGCACAAAAGAAATAAGGGTTGATGTGAATAGATAAGATTAGATCAGATCTGTAAAAATGATCAGCATAGATTGATGGTTTTCAAACCTCAGCCCTTCCTCGGTCATCCCTATTTAGTGAGCAGTTTATTTCATAACCTGAGGTGTTTGCTTTCAGCTATGAGCAAACTTTGTGCTGTCTTTGACTGTTTCAATTAGAACACACATGTGGCCTGTTCTCTATTTCTTATTTGAAGTTTTGTACGGTTCTTTAAGGATTACTGAAATGAACTTCTGTGTTGTACAATGAAACAATAGATACTAACTCTTTTTTTAGGGAATATTAAGCATTATTAACCCAAGAAATAGATTCTGAGGTGGAGCCCAGGGAGACAGTGAGAAGTTCATTGCAATTAAAATATTTATTTTATTTTATTTCTAGACAGAAACATCCCTGAACAGGATTAATCAATAAAGCATGACAGGGAGTTGTCAATTATGGTTTAATAAAGATATACAATGGGGGTGGTTAGCTGTTAACCTACATGGCATATCAAGGTTGTTATGGTAAAACTGAGTTTTTTTGTTTTTTCCCTATTGAGATGATGTTCTTGTGGCTTACACTATGTTTGTGTATTTGGGGTGGGGAGTGCAGTGCTCCTCTGTGTGTATGTATGTGTGTGTTTTTAAAAACAGAGTTCCACAATGCAGATCTGGATCCTGATCCAATTTCTACTTAACTTCAATGGAAGCAGAACTAGTATCTCCATAGTACCTAGGTAGGCTTCTTTTCTACATTAACATAATGACACCAAACTTCTTGTAGACATTTGCCTAATTTTATGCAGACATAGTTTTCTGCTGTTCAGACTAGCCAAGATTTTTAAGAAAGAGCTTTCATCATGGGGCCATTCCTGTTTTTATCCACTGATTTATGGGAGATTTTTGCCTAAGTGAATGATGTTGGATCAGATCAGATATTAGACTTTTTTTTTCCTTTTGGTAATTCATGACAATTTCTGGACAGTTAGTAAGGATTTCTGTTCTTATTATTAATACATCCAAAATATTATTCCTGCAACATCATTTCCACTTTAGATTACAGTACCTTATCCCACTTGGCACGGATTTCTTCCATGGTGACAGTGCTATAAGGATTGCTTGCACTTATTCGAATGTTGTAACTCTGAATAACCTTCTCAACTTCGTTCTGGATTGACAGGATAGCCTGTCTCTCACCATCTGCCTCTGGCAAAGTGGCTTTAAACTGTTCATGGGCAGTGATTAAACTCTGGAATCAGAAACAAAGTGGGAAAGTATGAGTATGTTTGTTGCAGTGTCGGTTCTATGATCTTGAACCCTGATATAAATAATTGTATTTCCTTCCCAAATACATTGTGTACATGGGGTGCAACACTGACAGTATGGAAGTCAATGGTAAAATTGCAGTGAAGACAGAATTTCACCCATAAGATCAGGTCAAATAAGACAGAACTTGCAATAATGCAGCCTTTGGGGTATCAGACCATACTTTGTTGTTTCTAAAGTTCTGAAAATTGTTTCTTTACCTATGTTTCTAATAACATGTGAGATTAAAACTGAAAATAAAAAAAAAGAATTTAGTATTCATACTTTGTTGCACTTCAGTCAGTCTGAATAGTAAAGGCAGATTACTATTTAGCAGTAATAGCTAAATTTTACTTGGTTTTTCATTATAATTGTGATGTTTTTCAGTACTGTGCTATTTGGGATTTCAATAGTGCAAGTGAATATTCCCTCCTTTTTGATTCCTCACCAAGTTTTAAAAAACAGGACAAGTTTTCTATTCATTTTCTTCTCACCCTTGTCTTGCCCTTTTTATAAGAAAAAAGTAATTAAAACCCTGATGCTTCTTTAGAATCCTCTCGTATGGAACCCTGTGTCCATAAGGAGTCTCAATGAAATCAGTGTGATTCCACATAAGCAAAAGAGGTCTGCCCTAGTGGTTTATGATGCAGCATCTGGGCTTAAATTCTCAAGAATATCCCTTTAAATACAGCTGCACCAATGTTCCACTCCCAATAAGTGCAACTGAACAAGCAATAAAATTAAGGCTTCAATATCTGAGATATAGGTGAGAGGATTATTCTAGGAGTGGGTGGGTGAGATTCTGTGGCCTGCATTGTGCAGGGGGTCAGACTAGATGATCATAATAGTCCCTTCTGACCTTAAAGTCTATGAGTCTATGAGTAATGCCTTTAGTTACTTTCACAAGTCAACTACGCATAACGAACAGTCTGAATTTCATTTATACTGAGCCCCTTAATAAAAAGCAGCCTTAAAGTGGGTGGAAATTTAAATTAAGCCTTTCTTTTAACATGACAAAGTAAAGTACCAGGTTCTACAAAATTGCCTTCATTATTAGGTTAGTATTTGTGTAGTCAGATGTTACTGTTCTAGGCTAAATCCCATATCCTGTGACTACACAAGGACACCAATCTCACCTAACTAGTGTCTTAGCTCCCCAAACAACCACCATAGGCCATATAATGAGAAATGCAAAAAGACACTGTGTTCCCAAGTTTTGCTCTCCACAATGCTTTCCTTCTCTTCTTACCTTTGGCTAAGGATTCCTTCCAAGGAGAGAAGCACTGCAGCCAGCAGCCTTAAAAGATCATACCTGCTTATAGGTAATGACTTTTTAGCTCACTGATAGACGGAGGAAGAGAGAAAGGACATTTTCTGTTAGAGAGATAGCTTTAAGGTAGGCTAGGTTTTCATATGTTGACAGTATCCATTCAGTAGGATGGAAGGATTCCTTTCTTGACTTCCTGAGGATTGCAAACCAAAAGCATACCCCGATTTACCTGAATTTCCTCTATGCTGTGAACAATAAACATGTCTTGAAGGTCTTCCATTGCACCTTCCATCCAGTTGTTGAATGGAGCAGCTCTCTTGGCAAACTCCAGGTGAAGTTGATCAATTGTTTCCAGCAGTTTCTCTGTCCTCTGTTCAGTCCAGTAAATGCACACAAACAAATTCATTGTTACTGAGGTAAAGACTAATTCTAGGCATATACTTGTAGTGTCCCAGTTACCTTGGGCATACATTTTCAAAAGTAACTGATGATTTGTGGTGCCTCATTTGCTAGCTGTCCAACCTGAGAGAGCTTTAAAAGTGCCATTGAAGTCCATGAGACTACACACATTAAACTTACTTTTCTGTTCAGCTCATGTAAAGTTAAATATTTGCATAAGACTTCATAGAATCAGGGCCTAAGTGGGGGTTTTTTCCATTTATTTATTGTATTTTAAATGTTTTCTGTTAATTTGACTATAAAATGAACTAATTGGTGACATTTAATTTTAAATGATTGGCCTGCTATAGTAATTTCTTTCATGTATGAAACAGAGCAGTAACATATACATGCCACATATGAGCCTGGAGATATATGTAGGTGACTTCCATTGATCTCAGGGGAAAGCCAAGAAGGTTTATCCTAGGGCTTTTAGTAAATCTGATTTCACTGCTATGGAACCTCCATCAGAGACCCTGGCCAGTAGCCTACTGCTCAAACTAAGCTTTGCTGTAGTATATGTGACAAGATAGCTGTCTAATTACATCACTGTTATGCATCAGATTCCCAAAGTCACCTCTTGGTGACCAAATTCATTCTGGCTTGGACAGCACAGCACCATCTAGTCTGTTACCGAGCAATTTAGCTTATACTGCAAATGAACTCATAGCAAACTGAAATGTAGAGCTGAAGAAAGGGTATATGGCAGTCTGGATTCCAGAATTAACACTCACCAACATCTGTTATAAATCCCAAGGGATTCGGGATTTTTTTAAATGGAGCTCGATATCAATTTTACCTCCAGTGCCTCTCTCCTTTTCTGAGTAAGTGTTCCCAGTTTGTCCCATTGATCACATATCTTCTGGCATCGGTCATTGACACTTGCAGCATCGTAATAGTCCAGTTCGCTAGGAAAGAAGGAAGACAGAAAGGCATCGCTTCTGAATGAATAGACAAGAATACAGTGTACATACCACACCTGTGTACGTGTTGCACTGGCTCTCAGTAACTATTCCTCATCTTCCTAAAAAGGTCAGGTTGCAATATTAGGTAGTGTAGTGGTATTATAATATGTGGGACCTAGACTGTAAAGGTAGGATACACCCCAGATTTAGGTGCCTAATTTCCACCCTAATACATAAAGCTTCCACCGAGCCCTGTAGGCATCTAAATTCATTCAGTACTTATGTTTTCAGTGTAAAAATTCCCTCAGCACCTATGTTTCTGCTTCTTGGCATGCACACTGCAGTCTTCTTCAACACCTCTGGATGGCTATTTCCCACCTAAGCCCCAAAACGATTCATCAACCTCATAGAAAGACAGGTGTTCAGCTGCCTAAAACACATCCGGGGCTTGATTGGGAGGCATGCTCAGGGGCCTCCTACAAGATGGGGCCCCATTCAAAATGCACTCCCTTTGTAATGTTTAGCCTAATGGTTAGTGCACTTGCTTGGGATGTAGATGGTCCAGGTTGACCTCCACCCCTCAACTAGTGCAGCAGGGTGAAAAGGATTTAATCAGGGGCCTCCCACATCTCAGGAGAGTCCTCTAACCAGCTGCCATGGAATATTCAGATGTGGGGTACCCATAATCTGTCTTATTGAAGATGTGGCATTGTGGCTAAATAATGAAAAAGTGATTGGAGATTAAATCTCCTACCTCCCAGCTAGATGCCCTAACCACTGGCCTACAGGGTCATTCTCACTCTCTGTGGCCCAATGGCTGTTGCAAAACAGATAAACACTTACAGTTATGGGACCACAGAGAGAGAATGACTCTGTAGTGGCTAGGTAGCAGGAACCAATGGACTGTTGGAAACCAAGAGCCACTGTCATGAAAGTACTCTCATCATCAAAAAGTTAGAGAGAAACCATATGACATCGAAACAGCATTATTTATATAAAGGCAAGGCAGCGGCCAGCAAGGCATTCTCCTTAAGGGCCCTTTGGTTCTGGAACTTGCTCCCCTCTTGGGTCCAAACCAATCCAGATTTATTAACCATCAGGCTATGCAGTAAAATCTATTTCATTAATAAGACTTTTGGGGAGGTGTGAGGGTAGGAGGTTGTGGATGGAATGGGATAGGACATTATTTTGCTGTACTGACTGCAAGTTAATTTTTTGTATGCTATATTCTTACAGCTAAAGAATGTTCCTATATGGATTGTGAGTTTAATAACTAAGAGTATCTTTTTGGCATAATACATCTAAATAAATACCAAGTATTTTTCAAGTTTTTCCAAGTGGCACCTCTGAGACTATTGTGAATTATATTTTCAGTTGAATGGATCATTGATCTCCAGTTGCCACTCATTTTTTTTAGGATAAGGGCAAATATCACGTGTGAAAATGAGGAACTAATTGTACTGGCTACGGTCAGTGCTGGAAGGTACTGCACTAACATCTCCAAACAGCTCTGCCATCATACCTCAGTCATGATCTGCAATATCCCTGCTATCCTATTCCTGGGCTTTTATTAAGTAGATTGACAGTTTGTGTTGTGATGTGGATCAATACAGAAGAGAACATGATTAACAATTGTAATTGTAAAGGGGTATTTACAGTTTAAAAATAAAAGGCCAGATTCTCAGCTGGTATATCTCGGTGCGACTCCAATGACTTTCACAAAGGAAGAGCTGGCAACATAAATTACTAAAAAATAAATGTCCTTAACAAATGTCACATTTTACATGGCACTATTAAAAAGAAAAGAAATGTAAATTTTACTTTTTCATTACTTGCACTGTTTACTTTTTTGTGATTCTCTCTCCATCATAAGTACAAATAGACTAGCTTTCACTTTTCTTTTAAAAAGAGAGTGTCTATTAAATTTAACTTTTAGTTTTTTGTGCACATACGAAGTGCTGCAACACATGGCTGAAAATTCCACAAATGAATGTTTTATGTAAAAAAAAAAAAATCCATGACCTTTGGAATTTGAAACTGTCATAAATGTATTTCTATTGGTCTTAGATTTCATGAAATTTTACTTTCATGGATTTTGACTCAAAAATAGGCCAAATTTAGTTTGCCAGTAGTTTTGATCCAGCAAAGCATTTAAGCATGTGCTTAATTTTAAGCATGAGTAGTTCCCCAGAAGTGACATTAAGCATGGATCAGGCTGGTCTCTTTGTTACTGTGCCCATAAACACAATTTGAACTGAGATATCCGGAAGCAAAAGTCTTTCTACTTCATCTATGTTAGAGATTAACACAGCTGTTTGTCTGGCTGAAAATATGGTTTTTACAAAAGGCGAGACAAATATTTTAAAAATTAAATTCATAAATTTTGATCTTGATCAGTAAAAATCTTGGAATCAATGCATAGGACCATAAATTAATATAGCACTTTGGAGCACAATTTGGTCCAATTCTTTTTAGCATTTACAATTTATTAAATGGAAAATCCCTGATTTTTTTCCAGGTTTAAATAATGCCACATCCAAGGCTTATGTCGTCTTACAATCTGGCATACAATGGCAGCATAACAGCTTCCACACTGGAATGATCATTCTCTCTCTCTCTCTCTCTCTCTCTCTCTCACACACACACACACACACACACACACACACATAAATTCTTTATTCAAACACCATCAATCAACAAGCTTTTAACAACTGTAACCTTTATGCTCTTAGTTGGCTCAGCTGCTGTAGCAGAAAATATCAGCACTGACACTGAACTGTAACCAGTGCAGTTCAAGGTCACACCGCAATTGTTCTTCTTCAAAATAGCAGCTTCAGGCAGCCAAGAAATGACTACCAAAAATATAGGACATGCTGACTTGAAGCACAGATAAAGCTGCTCTCTCTAAGGGTATGTCTAAACTACATCCTTCTATCAAAAGATCGAAAGCGCAAATGAAGGGGGGTTTAAATATCCCGTGATTCATTTGCATAATTGCATCACTTTCACTTTCGAAATACCCTTTTTCCAAAGAGCACTGTGATGCAATTATGCAAATGAATCACGGGATATTTAAACCCCCCTTCATTTGCGCTTTCGATCTTTTGATAGAAGGATGTAGTTTAGACATACCCTACGAGCCTGACACAATGGCCAAAGAACTTAAAAACAAGACCCTAATTTACTTCAATGAGCTTTAAATCAGGCTCCAAGTGCACCTTTCTTAGCATGAACATTTTTACATAATCCTAAGAAATATCACTGTCAAGAAGAACTAGGATTTTTCACCTTTAATTCCTATAATTTTGTGAGGAACTGTTGGTAAAATTATTAAAATCAATATCTAGTGGAAGCTTCCATTTTCCCTGCAGGTAATAAAAATACTTGGTGTTTATATAGAGAGGCCTTCATTCAATGTCATCCAAGGGTTTTAAGACTAATTAGGTCCCTCACAACATCCTTAAGCAACAGGGTAGAGATTTTCTCATTTTACAGGTAAGCATGGAGGTTAAGGCAGGGTACCTCAGAAGTCAACAGGGTGTTCATAGGGAGAAAAATTGTGATCTTAAACACTCCAGGGACCCTGCCAGTCCTTACAATTCTATGATTCATTGCCTCTAAATCATAGGCCACAACTCACTTGTCCAACATGACAAAGCAAGCTAGGTGCAGTTTTCTCCCCCATCCAGTCCCATTCTAGCCATCGGGCTATGTCCCCTTCAAGTTAGGAAAACCACACTGACCCTGCCTACACTAAGGCTATGTCTAGACTGGCATGATTTTCCGCAAATGCTTTTAACGGAAAAGTTTTCCGTTAAAAGCATTTGCAGAAAAGAGCATCTAGATTGGCACGGACGCTTTTCCACAAAAGCACTTTTTGCGGAAAAGCATCTGTGTCAATCTAGACGCGCTTTTCCGCAAAAAAGCTCCGATCGCCATTTTTGCGATTGGGACTTTTTTGCGCAAAACAAATCTGAGCTGTCTACACTGGCCCTTTTGCGCAAAAGCTTTGTGCAAAAGGACTTTTGCCTGAACGGGAACAGCATAGTATTTCCGCAAGAAGCACTGATTTCAGACAGTAGGAAGTCAGTGTTCTTGCGGAAATTCAAGCGGCCAGTGTAGACAGCTCAGATTTGTTTTGCGCAAAAAAGTCCCAATCGCAAAAATGGCGATCGGAGCTTTTTTGCGGAAAAGCATCTGTGTCAATCTAGACGCGCTTTTCCGCAAAAAAGCTCCGATCGCCATTTTTGCGATTGGGACTTTTTTGCGCAAAACAAATCTGAGCTGTCTACACTGGCCCTTTTGCGCAAAAGCTTTGTGCAAAAGGACTTTTGCCTGAACGGGAACAGCATAGTATTTCCGCAAGAAGCACTGATTTCAGACAGTAGGAAGTCAGTGTTCTTGCGGAAATTCAAGCGGCCAGTGTAGACAGCTGGCAAGTTTTTCCTTTGCGGAAAAACTTGCCAGTCTAGACACAGCCAGAGTGTTTTTCAAAAATATCCCTTTGTTATTAACACCAGTTCAATTCCATTGATATTAACTGTGTTTGGAGTCTTTTTAGGCATTGCGTTATTAGCTTGAGCTGAACAGAGATCGATTACACCACTAAAACAACTATGCAATTTCCAGGTTGTCCACATTGTGCTCTCAATGCTGATAATACTACTGGCGCTGAACCAGCACTAGACATTTTTAGAAATTTTCCCTGTTGCAGACAGAGTCATTGAGAGCTTCTATACAAATAGTTACACAACAGAAAGGCAAGTATTTTATCAACTGATGAATTCACTGAAACATGCATCCTTTTGAAGCTTCATGCTTTTAGAACTTACTGTTACATCTGTTTTCCTCTAAATATATACCTTCTCTTTTAAATAAACTGGAAAAATAGAGAAAATAGACTTTTTCTCTAATCTTGTCTAGTTTGAGTAATCTTAGGTGTTACTGCTAACAATAGCAGGCAAAACATTTTCAGAAGGTGTGATTTCTAACTTGATGATGGGTGTCTGGATTTGTCTTTAAATAGGAGACTTCCAAGGGGTGAGGTGATAGACCCGGCACCTGTGCCAGCCACATTCTGTCACAGCACAAGAATGGAAGACTCATGGAAAAGCTGTAAAGTCCTTTCTGCAGAGACATAAGTTAGGGTATGCCCCCAGATGCTCTGTGCTGAGCCCAGGCAGTACAGGGTCACAGAGACACAATTAGAGCTAGTGGAGAATTTAGACCCAGTTATTTTTCAGTTATGGTCCTTTTCAAAAGTACAGTGAGATTATTTTAGCACATCCATTTGCAGTAGGTATTTAACCCACTGAAACAATAGAGAAACTAAAACACGGAAAGGTAACAAAGGGCATGTCTATACAGCAGCTAGACACTTACAGCTGGCCCGTGTCATCTGACTCAGGCTTGTGGGGCTCAGGCTGAGGGGCTTTTTCACTGATGTATAGATTTCTAGTCTTAGGCTGGAGACCAAGTTCTCCCTGCGAGATGGGAGAGTCCTAGAGCCCAGGCTGAAGTCTGAGCTCAGAAGTCTAAACAGCAATGAACCAGTCGCCAGTATCTATTTGCTGTGCAGACATACCCTAAGAGATCTGACACAGAGAGACAGGGATGGGAACACTGCTTAAGTGTCTGTCTGGGAGTCAGAATATCTGTTTTAACCACTGTCTTCTGTTAGCTTCATACTTTTATTCTGCAATTCAGCAACACACTTAAGCACTTGCTTAACATTAAGCATGGGAGTAGTACTAGGGATGTTAAATGGCATTTAATCAGCTAATCCACTAGTCAATGGAATTTTCATTGACTACTTGATTAGTTGATAAAGGGGAGGAACTGCAGAGCCACAGCGGGGTTATCTCTTGGCTCCAAGAGCTAACCCTGGTGCATCTCTGCCTATTAAATGTATTAAGAGCTCTGCTTTTTAAATGTATTAAGGTTCTTAATACATTTAAAAGGCTGAAGTGCAGTGGGGCAGGGGTCCGGGCACAAGCTGTGAATCAGCTGCTTCCTGGTTCGCATCTGGTCCCCTGTTATGCCTCTGCCTTCCATGCCCCACCATACACATAAACACATGCTTAACATTGAATTTAATGTTATACTGGAAATCAGTGGTACTACTTAGGGATGTAAGCATATACTTATCGGTTAGTCAACTAGGGTATGTCTACACTACCCTCCTAATTTGAACTAGGAGGGTAATGTAGGCATACTGCACTTGCAAATGAAACCCGGGATTTGAATTTCCCGGGCTTCATTTGCATAAGCCGGGCGCCGCCATTTTTAAATCCCGGCTGGTTCGAACCCTGTGCCGCGCGGCTACACGTGGCACGAACTAGGTAGTTTGGACTAGGCTTCCTAGTTCGAACTATCGTTACTCATCATTCCACGAGGAGTAATGGTAGTTCGAACTAGGAAGCCTAGTCCGAACTATCTAGTTCACGCCGCGTGTAGCCGCGCGGCACAGGGTTCGAACCAGCCGGGATTTAAAAATGGCGGCGCCCGGCTTATGCAAATGAAGCCCGGGAAATTCAAATCCCGGGTTTCATTTGCAAGTGCAGTATGCCTACATTACCCTCCTAGTTCAAATTAGGAGGGTAGTGTAGACATACCCTAGTTGACTAACCGATAAGTATATGCTTACATCCCTAAGTAGTACCACTGATTTCCAGTATAACATTAAATTCAATGTTAAGCATGTGTTTATGTGTATTGCTGAACTAGACCCTTAAATTAATTTGTATCTTCTCGGAGTGTGCACATGCACGTGTGTGTGTGTTTGCGTGTGAGTCCAGTGGTTAAGGCATTGGTCTTGGTCAACCTGGTTTCAAGTCCCATACCCTGCCACAGATTTCCTATATGGCCTTGGGCAAGTCTCTGTGTGCCTTCAATTACCACTCTGTAAAACGAGGATCACAACAACACTTCCACACCTCAGAGGGCAGTTTGCGAGGCTAAATACATTAAAGACTGTGAGGTCCTCAGACACTATGAAAATGGGGGTCAGAAAAATACCTCAGACAGACTGAGACACCCATGCTATACCGAGAAGGAATAGGAATTAGTTGTAAGTATATAAAGCACTACAGGATGGGAAGAGCTATGCAAATGTAAGAAATTATTTTAATATCATCTTGTAATAGTTGATCTATATTATATGTACATAGGTAAAATGAAAAATAATTTTGGATGAGATAGCTTTCACTTTTAGCAACTTGTAGCAAAACACATGAACTGACAGATGAACTCCTGCCCCCCATCCCAACCAGATACACAATTTACCCATGAGCAGACCCATAGAAACAAAAGCTTACTATTAAAACAATTTCAAAATGTTTGGCCTCAAACAATTGTATTCAGTTGCCCATCTATATTTAGTTCAATGAAAGAAAAATAGGTGTCAGTGACCAGCTCAGATAATGCCCTTAGCAGTTATCTGTGGAATGCTTACATTGTACCTATGACACTATTGAATTCATTGGAAAGAGTTTATCAGTTAAATGTCAGCAGCTGCATGCCTCTAAATGGAACTTACTTCAGCTCCTGGGCAATGGCTGCGATCTGTTCTACCCTGTCCTGGTGAGCAGCCAAGTCACTCTCAAAAGCTTCATGTTTCCTCAGCATGGCGCGGACTTCGGTCAGAGAAGCAGATTCATAATCCTTCAGGAGCAAGATCTGCTCTTTGCCTGAAAATTAACATTAAAATATCAAAAGCTTCAGAGGGTAGTCGACTTAGTCTGTAACAGGACTAACTAATTAAAATATCAGTAATTCGTTACTTTGGATTTGTTAATTACAATATTCAAGTCAGTCATTTAAACTGGGGCCCAGCTTTGTGATGCTTTGATCAGTATCACACACTCAGTGTGACATCTAGTCCTACTGCAATCAATGACAAACTTCCACTGATTTATTTCATTAGGGCTAAGCCTTAGTGGAATGTCTTTATTAGCAACTCACTGCAAAGGTCCTATAGAATTTAAAAGGATGAAACAATAACTAGTAATATAAACCATGGTATAAACCTGTAGAACATAATAAGATCTTTTCTGAAGGTTACTTAAACAATCCTATAGAATTCTGTAACGGGGACGTGATTCTCTGTTATGTTTGACTGAACTGTTCAGAGGCTTGTAGAAGATTACTTTCTGGTAATTTCTAAAGGATTTTTCCACATGGGAATTTTAGCCTGTTTCACACAGACACATCCCTGTGAAATGTAGAATAAGCAACAAGGTAATTCAGGCTCATTCCAAGATAGGACCAGACTGTCAGCTCCCTAACTGCACTGGTAAAGAGTTACTTAACTGAGTAGTTACTAACTTCAGTGGGACTGCTTGGGTGAATGACTCCTTCCCTGTCTGAATAATGTAGTTCTCAAATCTGGCCCTTCATTAAATATTTACTTTATAAACACAAAGATGTGATAAAACAGACATATCCTTTCGCTCATCAGGAACTCTTGGCATTGGAATAGACAACTGTGAATTCATAGAAAGCCACTTTAGTCTCAGTTCACCATATACTATTTTCTAGATTTTAAGATCTTATAGGACCATTATTTCACTTGCTATATATTTTCCTGTATCTGTTATGTGTAACTTTCCCCTGTGTCAGAGCTAGAACACGAGGGGTGAGTAGCATATGCCTAATAAAGTAGCTTTCATAATTGTTGCAGTTTCACTTTTGGCATTTACTTGGCAACCATTTACTGTTTTGTGTGCTTCTAATAAGAGCACGATGGGCTGGACTTTTCTTTGAAAGAGCCAGCACGGAGGCGGTAGTGGAAGTGGGAGGGGCACAGTCGGGACAAAGTAGGAGCATAAGCAGCAGAGCTGTATTATGAAGATTCTCTTTCGGGGTAAGGATCTCAAAGAGCACAGCTGTTCTAACTAATAGTGGGGTTGGACTAGCGGTAGCACTCTTCCCCTTTGCTGAAGTTGAATAAAAGCTGTGGCCTGTTGTTAGTTTCATGCAAGTGTCTATCCTCATTTTGCTGCTGCATCAACATCAAAGAAAGCCTGATTTTTCATTCCCATCTCCCTGAAATTCTGGGGAGGTTAGCTAAACTGTAGGATACTGATTGTTGAAATTGGCTAAAGAAAGCCACAATTTAATATAACTCTACTTTGGGGATTTGACTCAAACATATCCTGGTTGTATTTATATATCATCCTTAAAGCTAAAAGATGCTTCTGTCTTTGCTGCTGTTCAATAAATCACACTCTGCTGATATCTGCCTTTTACCTAGATTCTTTTCTGGTCTTATTGCAGCCCTGACTGGATGGTCACAAGTCCTGGATATGCAAATGATGCAATTTTTGCAAAAATGATAGATAATACATTAAACCAGAAGTGAGACATTGTTTTGTGGATTTGGTAACAGAAATCTGAACTTATTTCTCTATTGAATGGTCAGCCCATGTCGTTGAAAGATAAATCTCATTAACATGTGTCCAAAGAGTTAAGATAAGTGTAGGGGAATAGGCTAAAAAGCATTTGGAGTCGTTGTTAGTTTTAGGTTTACACAACTATCCAAATTGTTCAACAGCTGGTTTTGGTCAGTAAATACTCAGAACTGATTTATGGATAGATTTATCTGAAACACTTTAAGCAAGGTCTGCTTACCATATGCCCAGTTTTCATGAGTAGAAGCCTTCTGTCTAAATTTCTCAGCCAGGTGTTCAAGACGTTCCAGTCTTCGTATTTCATTCAGTAACCATTCCTCATAGCCCTTCTCAGCTTGTTCAAGTCTTTGCCAAGCGCTAGCAATATCCTATGAGAAAATTGGGGATGAATAAGGAAATATTTAAATTTTTACCTTGTATCTCACATGACTTGCCCAAACTTATGAACGCTACAAGAATTTACAATCTTGCTCCAAAAATGGAAATTTAGGTCCACATTTTTCAGACATAGGCACCTAGATTACACCAAACAAAATAAGTGTGAGCGAATGAAAACTGTAAGCAATATGTACGAAATACTATTGTCCATGAAAATTGTCTGCGTGTGCAGTTATCTATCCACTGCCTCCATGTATATTTTATATCTTGTATTTTCAGTTAATGTGATTTATAATATCATTAAAGTATTCTGTTTTCTGCATCCATTAACAAAATTAAAATGCTTTGGTCTTAGAAGCTGACAGTGATGAAACAGGAATATCAAAAGGAATCCAATGTGCACTTTAACGGGAACACAAAGTCACTAAGGTTTCTGGCCTACTTGCACTGCTGACAAATAAAAAAAGTTGATTTCTGCTGTGTGGTCTTTGCAGAATATTTTGAGCAAAGACAGACACAAAGGCACTATTTATAGCCAGCACTGCCAGTTTTTATGATTTTTGTGAGTCAGCTAGACTTTTCAGCTAATAGTACAACCTGTTTATAAAACCTGAACAGCTTAAAAACAAGATTACAGTACAGTACAGCCATTTGTTGGCCAAATTCAACTCCTGAAACATTCAAAACTCAAGACTTCAAAAGCTGAGAATAAATTTGGAGGAACTATTGTGTTCACAGATTGCAAAGTTCCAATCAATAAAAAACAATCTACTACAAGATGAAGCTGAAAAAAGTACAGTAGATTACTGGCCAAATTCAGAGGTCCTGAATTGAAGGAAACTCCAGATGAAATCAATAGTAGCTTTGCTTCATACAGGCATCACACAATTTAGCTCCTTCAACAAAGCCATACTGATCATGCTCACAAAGGGGATTTCGCTCTCTGTCTCTGGTAGCGGCAGAATTACTGAAGTGGAGGCAGCCTTAAAAAGAGGCAGGACCATAGTAGGGAGAAATGATCCTCGAGTGAAGTACTTAATAAAATAAGTATTGTTGTACTCGAAAACTAGATGTTGCAAGTTGCAATTAGTGAAGATGTTTTGAATAGTAAGTGGATCCCATCTGTTCACATATTACTGAGCATTACAGGAGAAAAGGAAAAAAAAGACTGGGCCCACATTGTACTTACTGAAACCATTTTCCCCTCTGATGGCATGAAAGCTGGTCTATTGCTGATCCTCAGTTTTGTCTGCAAGGTGTTGAAATTTATCTCCAGCTGACATTTCTCCTGGACTTTGGGAGGCTTGTGCTTGCGGCGGTAGTCTCGGAAGTCCTCTAGCTTCTTCTGCATGGCCTGCATTGTTTTCTCAGGTGTCTTGTCCTCCAGCCAAGGGATGGTGCGACGAATCCATTCTAAAAGCTATCACATACAGACACAAAAAAATTAAAATCCAAAGCAAAAAAGGAACCAAAAAGAAAACCAGAATACTGGATGTACAGGCTGCAGAGTCTTTTATTAAACAAGCATGTCATTGCCAATGTCAATGACTTAGTGACAATTAAGCACGAGATTTTCAAAATCTAGTAATTTTGGGTACCTCAATTCATGCCAAACTTGAGACACCCTAATGGCCCTGATTTTCTGATGATGCTGAGCAGTTGGATTTTTGAACATTGGGTCCCTTCAAGATATCTCAAGTTGGGTACCCAAAAGCTGAGATACCCACAATCAAGAGCTACTTCAAAAATCTTGGCCTTAGTGACTTAAGTAGTCAAGGCCAAAGAAGGAGGGCAGACACAAACTATAGGACTTGTCACTTACAAAACAACTGTTAGTACCAATACAGAATGTACAAGGCTATTTTGGGATCTAGGGAGCATTGCATGTTATGTCAGTGGTGCACACCTCACAATAAGGCCAAACTCTGTTGTCCTTATTCAGGCAAATTTCCCATTTGCTAAGAAAGGGCTGCAGGATCTGACCCAGAATGTCCACAGCACATTCAGGAAACTAACATCAGATGCTGTTTTAAAACAGAAAACTTTATGGTAAGAGTCCATTGTTATCCGTAAGGAAAAATAAAAATAACGTTAATTCAATTAACGAACACAAAGTTGCTGTAGATAACTGAACTCTTGATGTCCTGAATCACAGCCCTTTGCATCCAGGACACACTTCCTTGAGCTGCAGGGATGCATTCGGATCCACCTTAAAAAAATACCTCTCTCTATCCAAAACTTGACACCCACATATTTCAGATTGAAATAAAATCCTTATGGCCCATTTTATAAAAATCTTATTTTTAATCATTTAAAGATACATTTTTATTTATCTGCCACGTTACTGATTTTGGCAGATGGGAAAAGAAACTTTCTTTTAAACTAGAATTACTTATGGAAAACAATAAGTGAAATTAAGATTCCCTATTTGTGCAAGCTGTTATAATGTATAAACCCTCACAGGCCCTCTCTTGTACTTATATGGCCTCCATTATCACAGTATCTGAATGCCTTACCCTCTTTAATGTGTCCATCCCCACAACATCACTGTATTATCCTCATTTTCCAGATGGGGAACTGAGGTAGACAGAGACTTGGTGACTTATCCAATGTCACTCAGGAAGCCTGCAATGGAGCAGGGAATTGAGCCTGGCTATCTCAAGTTCTAAGCAAATGTTCCAATCACTGGACCATCCTTCCCCTCTGATAAAGATGACTGTCAGCTATGTGTGGCTTTAATTTTGGTCTATTTACATTGTAAATAATCCACTTAATTTACTATCAACCGTGTTATGAACCTCTCTTGCTAGCTTTTACCTCACTTGCTAGCCTTTCGTATTCTTCCATCAACTTTTCATTTTCTTGATTCACAGCAAGCACTTTACATATCCTGTTAGCAGCGGTCTCAGCCTATAAAACACAGAAAACAAACAGGACATAGCTGTCATCATGTTCACAAGAAGATACAATATTTGAGTAAGCTGAACGTGATTGCTGAAAATAAAAATTGCATTTCTTATCACTGTTGGTTAGTGCTCATGACTCATATGTAAGTTCATCCTTCTCAGAGTTACTGGAACAAATTCTTCAGTGAGACACTCTGTAAAACTCCACCAAATTCAGTGTTCTGCAGAGAGTGCAAGTCAACACAGAATTCATTCTATTAATGTTACAGCCTTATTATATATGAGGTAGTTTCCCACTAATGTTAGGTAATTTAATAAATCTTTACTCTGAAAGTGACTTAGACAATTGTTCAGGCTGTGGTAGTAGGATAAAAAAAATCATACTAGAAATCTAGTAGGTTTGTTAGGAACATTCAAAAGAAGGTCCAAGCAAATTAAGAATCCAGTTCACAGTTTCTGCAAGTTATTTGCACTTATAACCTCCAGAATGTACACAACTGGTCAAAGTCTGCTCTTCTATGCAAGTATAAATCTGGAATAATCCTAATGGAGTCAATTTCATATTCCATATTTATTTGGATTGTGCACCTAGGAGCTTTCTCCTGCCAGGAAAGTTGTACATCAACTAGGCCTAAGGTCCATATGCAAAACAAGGTGTCTCTAAACTTACTTTTGCTGAAAATAGCCTTGCATAACCATTGAATACACTCAAATGAGAGACATCAATGGTAATGCCTTTAATAACAAAAAAAATCAATTTTGCTACAGGACTTTTAACTGAATCAGGATCACAAGTTAGTTAAAAACAATCACTCACATTCAAACAATTCCTGTGAATGTTAATTAAAACCACAAGGATCTAAATTCAGGTGAAAAAAAATCTCATGGGAAATGTGAAACAACCAACCAAAAAGCACAGCAACTTGAAGGGAGCACTGATTAATACCTGCTCTGCTCCAGCAAAAGCATGGTAGAAGCAGGAAACATAAGTCATGATAGCTCTTTCATCAGGTTTGGGAGTGTTCACAATATCTACAAAAGGAAAAGGGGGGAGGAGAGGGAAGAGAACAAAACAAAATAGAGGAGTAGAAAACATGCTGAATAAAGAGAAGCACAAAATTGTTGGTACTCTGCCTTGTTTTCTGTATGCTAGGCAGGCACTGGCCCACAGATCTGAGACAAAACTGGAATAAATTGCTTGTAAGATTTATTGGTGCTGACGGGAAAAAATTAGTATGCTTAAGCTAATGTCTTGCAGACAATAAGATGGAACTTTTCTTCATTAGACAGAGTGGGATATTACACTGCTACGCTTTAGTGACACCACCTGTATGCATAAGGGTTATGCACAACAGTAAAGACTGCAGGATTGGATTCATGTTTAACAATTTCAAATTTGTCCTGTTATCGGAGATGTGTGATAGGCAGAATGCATAACTCACAGAATGTCAGCTGGTTTGACCTGGGAAGACCCTCTTACTGCAAAGTGCCTCAAGCTTACATATGTATCGGTTAGCTTTTTAATACCATATATCAGTATCCCTAGAGTGATTATGCTCCTGTCAGTGACACTTGAACTGTGTCCAAGTCTGAGTTTCTCATTACAGTAGAACATTGGAGTTAGGAAAACCTTGAGAATGGAGGTTGTTTATAATGCTGAAATATCTGTAACTTTGAACAAAATGTGTTTGTTCTCCAGGGTGACTGCTCTGGAGGGACACGGGAGGGGGCGCTGGCCTCATAACTGCACCCCATGTGATTCCTCCCCACGCTACTCCTAGTTTGGGAGAGGACTGAAAAAAACACCCCTCTGCCCTTGGCCACACATCCTGCTTTCCCCCATCCCTCCTCTCCCCTTGCCCAGCCTCTTCTCTCAACTGCCTCCCACCCCCGAAACAATGTGGCCTGGGGGACTAGCAGGAGGTCTGGTGCCAACAGCAGGGATTGGGCCCCCCTTCACTCACTAACAGTGGCAGGGGATGCAAACCCATGTGGCCCCAGCCCACTCCACTGCCCCAGCTCCCAGCTGCCTTGCTCCATTTCCTATAAGGGAGTGCAGGAGGGGATGCCCCCACCCCACCCCAAACTACGCGGCCAGGAGCCAGGGAAGCAGAGCAGGCTAGGGCCTCATCTCTCCGCTTCCCCTGCCAGTGCTGGTGAATGTGGAGGGCAAACCTCTGCTGTGGGTGCCAGGCCCCCTGCTAATCTCCCAGCCACCCAGAGTCTCATGGCATTTGGGGTGTTCGCCCCCTCATGCTGCCCACTCCTGGCTTTTTATCTCTGCTGCCTTATTGCATACTTCAAATTCCAAATGAGGCATGTGATTGACTGGTCGGGTAGCTCCGGTGTTCATAACGCTGAGATTCTATTGCTTTTTTTTTTTTTTTTTTTGCTTCTATTTGAGGAAATACAATTCCAGATTTCAACCCAACATCTGTATATGTATTTGTTTAGGCATCACATATAATAACTGTCTTATGCTGCTGTGCATTTGTGCATACATTAGAATGCTAACACTTAAAAAAATCCTGAAAACATAAAACTGCGGTATTTTCTGAACTTCTGCTGTTTTTTACATCTGCAGCATGAATCTTATCCAATGTGTGTATGGCATAGTAGTGGGAGATAATGATTGATGTTGGGACATTTTTTTTCCATGTGAATTTGTTATTTTCATTTTGCTCTTTAAAAGTTGATTCAAGTCAATGCACCAAGGTTTCAGAGGGAAGTATCCAGTTCAGTAAGCAGTTGTTGAGATCCTGCTTGATACTATAAGCAAAGATACAGAATGGGGAGACAGAAAAATATTTTCTGGAGAACAAACAAATGGCTAAACTTCTATTGACTACACAGAGACAGGAACGCACAGAGGAAATTAGGCAACAGGAAATGAGGCTTTGCTCAGCTCTAAGATGCTCCCCTAGTAACTAGCGGGGGGGGGGGGAGATCAGAAGAGAAAACCCGCTTTAAGAAACCCCATAGAAGGTGAAGAGTGAGATCTGATCCATCTTTTACAACCTCACCTTCTGAGCACCCGCAAATGCATGGTAGTAACAGGAAACATAAGTCATAATGGCTCTTTCATCAGGGCTGGCAGTGTTTACTACATCTGCATAGAAAGAAGAATGTTAACTGCTCAGATAGTCTAATGGCAATATAATTCCATCTGATGAGTCAATCTCAGATGCTACAAGGATTTAACAAAAACTCAAACAAACTAGGCCCTTCCACTTGCTTTCCTTTACTCATATCCATGCCGATCAGACTTTAGGAATCAGTACATGACTGAATTTATCAGTTGCTGAACTTGAAATGTTAAAATATGCAAATATCGAGGGTATACAGAAAGAGCATGGCCACATCGCACTGCATTGTACAAAACCCAATTTTCAAGAGCTATTGGAAGGCTAGCAGACACAGACCTCCTGGGATCAATTCTGCCTTCATTTACACTTATGAAAATCCAGAGTAGCTTCATTTAAGTCACTAGACTTACTCCAGAGTTAACTATGTGTGAATGAAAGCAGAGTTTGGCCTACTAACTTGCTTATGGATATAGTAGTGCATGTGACGCATGTTAAAACAGCATCCTTATATTCTGCCTATTTCCACTAGTAGCAGAGTGTTGATCTGCATCTGATACTGCAAAACAGGCATGCATGTGCTCCCGTGATCCAGACTAAATCTAGCACTCAGAAAAGCTTTGATTTTTAATGGTTTTGCTGTCTTTGAGCCAGATTCTATTTTCAGTTAACCTCAACATAAATCATAACAGAGTTTAGCCCCTTATCTTGGAAGATTGATGGATTTTTCATCATTATGGTAGAAAAGAACTAAAACTACAGTTTGGCTATGACTGTAACTTGGGCACATTGACAATGATGGTTCCTTTAACGCTCTGCAACGGATAAGGACAGAAAGCGGCCAAGCACTTCATACAGATGATCCATGAAGAGGCTCGCTGAATGGCCTTAGCCTCAATGCAAAAATGCGCATTCACACACAGCCTCAGTAACGTTGAGGAGATGACAATAGGAAAAGACTATAAAAAGCAGATAAAATTACTCAAGTTAGCTGTAGGATTTTATAACATAATAAGCAATATGTTTTATAAAACAGACATGGGCTTCTTTTATTTTACAGGGTTAAGAATGAGCTTTTGAAAAGGATATATTAAAAATCTGAAAATTAACACATATGTGACAGCACCTATTTAGATGATTTCGCATATTAATGATGATTGTAATAAAGTATCTTTTCTTTTAAGGTGTAAAATGGTAGGATATGGAATACTATATTTAAGAAAGCTGAACAAAAAGGAAAATGGTAATGGACATTCAAATCTATGAATAAGGAGATGATAGGTGTGTTGAATAATCTTGCATCTTATTTTACAGTAAAAAGGATGAGGTGTTGTTTAAAACAGATGTCAGATTTCCACTAACAAAAAGACAATGAAGCATGAAATCAATGCTAGAAATCACTGAAGAAGTTTTAGATGACGTTTCTGAAAGCACCCATTACTAACTCTACTGCCATTTATGTCAGTGGAAGACTGAGTGTTTGGAAACATTCCATCCTTTGAGACTAGTCAACTATCCAGATACCAGATCAGAATATATTCAAAGTGGCAGATTTTCATATTTTGGCTCTATGCATGCCCAAAATACAGAAGATTGGGTACTTTCAGCAGTTATTTTAACATCACATCAATACTGTATTATTTATAAAAAAGACTCTGAAGCTCTTTTAAAGGAACTAACTATGGAACTATTCATTAGAGCTGGTCATTAGGAAAGAAGACAAACAAGGTTTAACAAAAAAACAAAAACAAAAACAAAAACAAAAACAAAAACCAACAACATATCTTTAACTTCACCTTCCGACAAGGGTGGCACATGTTACTAGCTTTATATTTGTGAAGGGTTATATTAACTATAGCTCTCTTTTTCAAGTCTTTATTTCAGCGATACAGAATGTTACCTGTTTACCTCTGTTTACCATTTTATGTTATAGTTAGATTTTAAGCTCTTTGGAGCCATCTTTTTGTACAGGTCCTACACAATGGAGTTTTGATCTATGATAGGGACCTTAAGCGCTACTGAAAAACAAATAATAGTAAATAATATTTAACAAAACAAAAAAGTGTGAAATTCTCCAGCACACAAGAAAAAAGAAGGGAGGGATCATTTGAAAAGGAAACATAAAAAAGAGGCATTGTTGTGATGATTCATATATATACATAACATTGAAAACTTATGTTCAAGGCTACAAAGATTTTACTGATTACTTCTTATTCAAGCTAAATAACAGACTATAGCGCTCACCTTCTGCATCAAGCATCTTGGGGATATCCAGATGTTTTTCTGCAATTTCCATTGCAAGGTTAATATTTTTTATAGGATCATCCTGCATGAAAGCAAAAATCGGAAAGAGTTAAACACCAGACATTTTCTTGTAGCAAGAATGGTACAATAGGTATACTGCCTGATCCACAGAAGTAGATTTTCTGCACTAAAAGTCAGTCATAATCAGTGTTTTCTAAATAGCTGATCTCACTGATGTAGAGAGTGTATGCATGTGCGTGCACACATGTGCATGTGCGTGCACACATGTGCATGTATAAATATAATCTGTTTAATGTTTTCAAGAGAAAACATTAGTAAGCTATGAGGTACCATTAGGTATACATTGTTAATTTGTTCTGAGGGGACACAAACTTTATTTATTCAGTATGCACATATACGATGGTGAAAATCCAACATATATGCAGGGTATCAGAGAGACATGAATTCTAGCAAGCTCATAAGCTGACTACTGGTCAAGTCCACATATAATGATAAACAACCAAAGGAAAAGAAGTTTCAGAGGTAGCCATGCTAGTCTGTCTCAGTGCAAACAACAAGACGCTATGCAAATGAAGACACTATGCAAATGAAGCATGAGAAAATGCTAATGGGCAGTTCATTTCCACTGCCTCTTCCTCAAAAAGTTTGTAGTGTAGACAAAGCCCCAGTGCTGTGGGTTTTACTTTGCAGTGTAGAGATTCCCTCAGTGTTTCACATTAGATCTCTCACTGAGAGAACACTTGTTTTTTGAAAATGCCATTACTGGCCTTTTTAGAAGACACGCAGGTTTTCACAGTAGACAGAGTTGTTCCTTGAAAGCAGCATTTGGGTCTCGTACTGGTACAGAACTGCAGTTTTAGTGAGGGGCCTTAATGTCTCAGCGGGGCTTGAATTTTTTGTTTTGTTTTGTGTTTGGTAAATCAGTGAAAATAATGAGATTTAACTGACAGCGAATATTCCAAGTTTCACAGAAGTCTGCACTTCACACATCTATGAGTATACGTATTTAATTTTCTACTTATGCATGGGATTCCAAAACATAAGTAGTTTCCCCAGTGGTACCTCTTTTTAGCAAATATATCGTACCAATCAGCCACTTTTAAAAGCATTATGAAGAAAAAAATTCATTTGCCTGCCCTAAAGATTTTGGCTCACTTGTATATTACTAAACACAATAGCTACAGTTTCTTACTTTACTAAGAAGTGTATTTCATTTAGTAGTCTCAGAGGGGTAACCATGTTAGTCTGTAACTTTAAAAACAATGAGAAGTCCTTTGGCTCCTAAGAAACTAACAAGAATATATAGTATCATGAGCTTTTATGGGCAAAACCCACTTCTTCAGATGATCAGCTTGAGCATTTCTATTAAAAGGCACTTAAAATGTGGCCAATATTTAAAATCTATGGAACGTTATTTGTGGCTATATATTTATCTAAATGAAATACCACATATATAAAACATGGGTTAATGGCATGTACAAAAACTGTATTACAGATATATAATACACTTTAAAATAGACTAAATCTAAAGTGAAATCTATTGACTAATTTGAGAAGCTTTGCTTATAGATGGAGTGATGGACACCCCCCATTTGTATGCTTGATGTTAAATCAATGATTGATCAAAGCTCAGGGAAGATGTGGGAGAAGATTTGTTTAAAAGGATAGTGAATCCTGAGATGCTGGGAGACATCCATCATCCATACTTTAAAATAAAGCTACACACCACACTCGTTACTAATCTCTGTTGCAGCTACAGAAATACCTCATCTAACTTGTCATAGTCAAGAAGATCAGGCCTGTGCCTATGGATAAGAGCACTGAGGGCAAGGCCGTCCTTCCAGCTACAAGAAGTCCACACAAGATGCACAGATGAGAAAAGAGAAGAAGGCATGCAGGAGAAACAAATATCATGCCAAAAGAAAAAACACCAAGACATTTGTTAATACATCCAAACACACAAGCCCACTGGTGGGATCTTTCTGCACATGACAGCAGCCTCATCAAGGCACTTCTGTCTTCCCACCACATATACATAAATCTGATGGTTTTACTATGGAAGGTTTGTACACCGTGCATGAAGGTTTCCTTTCCCCTGGCCTTCTAGAAAGTTAGCCTCTTTTATGCTTAAGCACCTTTTAATGCTCTAACAGGTTGTCTATTTACCTAGTAGGTATGTTTGCGCTCAAAATGGTGTGTGTATAAAACTGCAGACCATGCTGCTGCTATCTGGCTAGTTAGCAATGTTGGCATTTTTGTTTAGATTTGTAATTGGGATAGAATTGTTTTAGTAACAGTGTAAAGAACAAATAGAGGGGACAAACAACTGTTGAAAATTATTCACTATAAATAAGAGGAAATGCTAAATCCTGCTTCTCTTACTCCCCCTAAGTAAAAAGAGTAGAGACTGAGCTCAAAATTGTACTTTCCAAATGTCTTCATGTTCAGATTACTACTTGGTGGGTGTGTCTATACCCATAACTTGAAATAAGCTACGCAATTTGAACAATGCAAATTAAGCAGCTTATTTAGAGTTAATTTTGAAATAGCTTATTTTGTAATTTAATTTTTAAATAACCTGCTATTCTGAAATGTTCCTTACTCCTCGTGGAATGAGTTTTACGGGGATGTCAAAATAACGAGCTATGATCAGCCCCATTGTGAGAATTACATGCTCCCCTTGTACTGTAGCCCAGTCACAGCAGGGCACTATTATGTTTATGAGTGATAGGGACATGGGTAGAATTCTGTCAAAACCCAAATTAACAAGAAATTAATATTTTATTGGTGGACTTTGATATGTATGTCTTGTTATTTCCTGTAGTAGGAAATTTATTACCCAGATCCAAGGGCAGAATTTACGCTGCAGAATTCTATCTTTAATCATTACTATGGGCCTGATTCTCCACTGCTTTCCACTTATATTTACACCAGTGCAAGGTGGGTGTAAAACACCACCAGCAGCATGCGTGGGGAATTCTATTTTATTATAATTTTACATCCACTTTACACTGGTATAAATGACTTCCCAAGATGCAAAACAGTGGAGAATCAGGCCAAATGTATGTAATCTCAGCTGCTAAAATGGGGCAAGGGGAAGAAAAAGGAAGGATGGGCTTTTTCCGCATCAGTTTTGTCAGGAGCTTGGAAAGCCAGTCAGTTAGTAAGCACTTCTCAGCTCATCCTTAAGGAAACATGCTAAGAAATAAGGAGTGAACCAGATCACTGCAGGTCAGCATGCTGTGTCACTCAGACTGATGACCTTATTTAGTTTGGAGTAGTCAATAAGATCAGGTCGGTGTCTGTGGATAAGCGCACAGAGTGCAAGGCCATCTTTCCAGCTTTACAACAAACAACAGAAAAAATGGAAAAATAAAGTTAATACAATCTATACATTGCACAGTTTAACCATCACTTAATATCTCTTATATGTATGAAGGCCCATGTTGCATCCAGATAATTATATGGGTTCTGTTAACAGCCTGTGTACTCACTCTTCTCTAATCCATATATTCCTGATTGTCCTACAGTGGTCTTTACACAGTGTACATTATGTAAAATGAGTCCTGAGTTAAACTGGTTATGTTCTGTAATGGTCCAGGACAAAAGAGACTATAGATACTGCTTTCAATGTATGTGCATAACCCTCCATTATATTTATGGTCACGTGCATACCACGGGACAAATGAGCCCCTGAAGATTCATCTACCAGAATCTGCATGTCCAAGAGGATTTTTCAATGTCACTAATATCCTGCAATTACAACTTCACAACTGGGCTTGTCTCAATGAAACATCCAGTAGCAACAGAAAAAAAAGCTTAATTTATTTAAACACTTTCTACATATTATGGGCCTGATCCCGAATGCTGCTGAGCACCTAAACTTCCCCATCTTCAGTGAGAGTTTCAGATACTCAGTTCCCTTTGGAACTGACCTGATAATAATGATTCTGGAGAAAACAACAGAGTCATCACTTACATCCTAGAAGTTTTTAGAGGTGCTGTTAACCTGACTTCAAAATGTACAAGCAACGACAATTCCCAGATAAAGATTAAATACAAGCATTACACATAAACAATTCTGTCATCCAAAAGTTAACATTCAATCATAGTAAGTTCAAATTATTTTAAGAAAACATATTCCCTAACCCAAGCTACACCATGCAATAATAAAACAATCTGTAAAACAAGAACTGAAGAAAACAATCTATATTTTGAATATAAACTTGATCTTATGTCAGGGTTCTGCTAATACAAACTTTTCCCCATACAGCGAATGAGCCAGTATATGCTAATTTAAACATTAAGGGGTAAATTATGCTCTTGGCCCAGGTCTACACTAGGGATCAAAGCGAGATCAAAGCAAAAGCTTATTGGATAGTCGACTAGTCCCTCAACTAATCGCTTCCCCCCCTCCTTGTTGCCTCCAATCAGAGGCAGCAAGGGGGGGAGCAGGAGCCAGAATGGGGGGAGCCAGCTTACAAGCCAGTTTCCCCCAGGACCATCTCCGTGAGGGGTAGGGGAGGCAGGGGGTTACTGGGGACCAGGTGTGAACCAGGAATCAGCTGATTCCCAGCTTGTGCCCAGTCCCAGATGCTGTGCCTCTGCTTTTTAAATATATTAAGAGACAACTGGCTCTTAATACATTTAAAATCAGAAGCGCAGTGGGGGGTACCCGGCGCAAGCCAGGAATTAGATGGCCCAGCTCGCGCCAGGTCCCCCCTTATATTTAAGGCTGGTGTGCAGCAGGGGGGACCTGGTGCAAGCCCAGAATCAGGTGGCCTGGCTCACAGCTGGAGTTTAGCAGGGGCACCTGGCGCGAGCCGGGACAGCTGATTTTGGACTTGCACTGGGTCCCTCCCTGCTGTGCTTCAGCCTTTCGAATGTATTAAGAGCCTGCCGGCAGGGTTAGCTCCCAAAACCAGAAGCTAACCCCACTGCAGCTCCCCCACTTATTAACTAATCGACTAGTCAATGGGAAATCCAACAACTAGTCGATTAGTTGATTAAAATAAATTTAACATCCCTAGTCTACACTGGCCCCAGAAGGTCAGCTTAAAGTAGGTGACTATAGCTACGTAAATAACGTAGCTGGAGTCGACAAACCTTAAGCTGAACTTGGCGCTGTCTTCAGAGTGGGAGGCTGATGGGAGCATATCCTTACTCCCTGTGACTGTGAGGAGTACTGGCGCTGACTGAAGGTGCCATCAGCATTCGATTTAGTGGGTCTTTACTAGACCCGCTAAATCACACGTCAGGAGATTGATCTCCAAAGTGTAAGTATAGATGTGGCCTTAGTTACATTTACACAACTGGGAGCAGGGTCTTATGCAAAACACTTGCATTTTATCCCTTGAAATAATGTGATCTTACCTAAGGTGGAAGTTCTGAATGTTCACATTTCTGTAAGGAGCAGTTTTCCTTTGACACCACAGCAGCAGACCTTCTTTGGCAGAAGTTTCTGTAATGGACCCATTCAGAAAACGAATGAAAAGGAGCCCAGGTATACAACACCCTGTTATTTTAAATAACTTTAAAAAGCTGTCACTTAGTATCATCTACTGGGAATGAGGACGTGATAGATATTGATGTTTCAGTCTGTTTTCCATGGTCAGCAGTCAACATCACAAATTTACCACCACTACAGTCAGCACATAAATCAAGGAATGAAGAGACCCCGAAGACTGAACTTCCTCTCAACACTAGAGATGGTTCCTCTTGACATTCACCGGCACAGCAGGGTGGGAAATTTGCACTATTACTTCTTTTATAGTATATCCTTTCAGTGGAAAATGGAGATTAGTTTCTAGAATGGTCAATGACACTTTTCAATATTTAGAACTGATTTAAGCAGAGAGATATCTGGCCAACAATACAATACAGCTAACACGTGAAAATGTCCTTCATACAAATTGCACAAAATCTGCCGAAGTTGTACAATTAACAAGTGACAATAAAACAAAACAAAACAAAATATTAAAGCACAGAAGAAATTAAGAAATATGGAGAAAGGGAAAACATATGTACTCAGATCAGATTTGCAAAGAGGTGGAGAAGCAGACAAATACAGAATGCTTGCTCCAAAAGGCAGGAGGCTCAGAGACCTGGCAAAACTGTGTGGAGAGCCAAAGATGGTTTGATGTGTGGAGACAGCAAAAATCAACCTAACTGTGTAGTGTAGACCAAGCCTGGGTTACTTATGGAAGCAAGAAGATCAGCACATTCAGACAAACAATCTTGTAAATAGGATGTTGCACCAGTACACAGTGATCCACCAATCCGACTAAAATAGATTTTTTACTTAATTTTAACAACATGTCAATGGAGGTTGATGTGCTTTTCCCCAACTATATTGAGATAGCCAGGAGTGTAGTCTTACCTTCAACTGAAATGTCCTGAATAGCAAAGCGAAGGATGATGGTCCATATCATACCGAGAGTCATTTTCACATTGCCATCAACAATTTCTAGGGTAAAAAATGGAAATCAGAATTCACAAAATACAGTTTGCAATGTGTCTTTTACTTTCAGCCTACACATCTGTCATACTGCCAATTTCATAATTCTTAATCTACACAGAATTTCTTCTGGTTGGTTTTTCAACAAGCTCATAGGACTGCTCAGATTAATTTGTCCTGAAAATTACGTACAGCTAAGATCGATACTTCCTTACTAAAGGCTTTTGTTCCACTGATTTAAACTTTCTCAAATCTTTACCTATCAGACTCACTTTTCTCTGTTATGTTTCTGCCTGAGGAAAAAACATGTCTCTAAAGGCTTGTCTACAGTTTAAAAAATCTGGAACAAGTCAGTGAGTGAATTTAAAGAGGATTAGCTGTTCCTGATTAATTCCACCTGTGTACATACTCAGGCTATGTCTAAATTTATCTGTAGATCGGCACTGCTGCAATCAATGCAGCAGGTGTAATTTAGTAGGTCTAATGAAGACACACTAAATATTTGGCAGAGTGCTCTCTGATCAACTGAGGTACTCCACTTGAAAGAGGAGAGTAAGGTAAATCAACAGAAGAGCATCCCTCATTGACACAGTATGGTACAGACACCACAGTAAGTCGACCTGTGCTACATCAACTCCAGTTACATTATTCACATAATCGGAATAGTGTACCTTAGGTTGACTTACAGCAATAGTGTAGACAAGGCCTTATTCTGCACTCTACTCTAGAAGAAGGGCATCCACACATCGAGTTAATCAGGAGTAGACAACCAGTTTGAGCAAAATCAGTTTTGCTGTTTTCAAATACAAAACAAGTGAACAAACATAGTTCTGCAATTTTTTAACAGCTCTCATGCATTAGAGAGTTACAAACTTGAAATCTGACATGCCTCTGGGGATAAATTTTTAAGTGGCTAAATGACTTAGGATTCTAAGTTCCATTTTCAAAACTGACGTTGGTACTTGGGAGCCAAAGTTCTACTGATTTTTCAGTAAAACGTACACACCTCAGTGCCCAAGTCCCTTGGAAAATGGGACTTCAGCTCCTAAGTTTTAGACAGGTTTGAAAAAGGTACCCATTGTTCCTAAGTAGGGTCAACTGTTCAAAAGTGGTCAACAGACAGCAGTGCCCTTTGAGAACAAGGAAACCTGCTTGTTCCTGAAAACTTCTGAAAATTTGGCCATAGATTAGATGTGCACCTTTTGGTTGTGTGATGAAAATTCATTTTGATTTGGCCAAGTAATAAGGAGATTTTACATTGTGTACTTTGTGTATGTACACAACTTTGTTACTAATGCTGTTCAGGTGACATTCTTCTAAATGACATTCTTCTACAATGGCAAGGCACACATAATTTATGTAAGTAATGTGAATGGCATTTTTTATGCCTGTGGTTTGAAAATAGTTCAAGGCATCAACACTACTTGAGCTCACCCAATGCAAAATGTGCAACCCAATCAGAAGATTTTCTCTCTCTCTCTCCAGGTGGTTGTGGAAGTAATTCCCAAGGTAAAACCCAGCAGTGAGATTATAAGAGGAGCAGCAGAAGGTCCTTAAAAGTGGGGGACCACTGGTACCCAAACTGAGGCCCCAACCTCTCACCAACCCTTTTCCCAGAGGTATTGCCATCTGATCACTCTTCTCTGACCCTCCCCTCCCTCCACTGCTCACCCTTATAGCCAATAAAAATAGGAGAGCCTAGCCTCCTACATTTAAAAGTGTGGGGGCCATGCCTCCCTTGCTCCCCGTGTTCTGGTGCCCCAGCACTGTAGTATTTATTTTATAGCGCAGTAAACTGTTAAAAAGGTAACTGGTTTCTTATTTTTCCACTTCATTCTTAGGTGGTCTCACCTAATTTTCCCAAGATTTATGGCCCTCTTCTCAGGACTCCATGTGGCATTGCTACCACCACCATATAGGCCCTGGAGGATCATGGCTCTCCTTAAGTTTATCATGAATTATACCAAAACTTAACTTTCTTCATCAGAGGAGACTGAATAGTAACTGGTGCAGATCTCTGTTGTGTTTTCCTCAAATACACATTTCCTTACACTTTGGTTGGTTGTGGATGACTGATTGACTAATCACTATACAATCATTTCTCAGTCTGTACAATATGTGGATTGCAATACGCATGGGGCATATGCTGATTTTCAGCCAATTAAGATCTGCAAAAGTATTTAGGCTCCTAATTTCTATGGAAATCGATGGAAGTCAGGATTCCAAACAATTCTGTGGATCCAGGTCTGTGTGATTATTTCATAACAACTACACTGCAAATACACAAATCTTTCTATTCTGACTGGCTACTGTAACCCTGCTGCTCACAGAACTTTCAAGTTATTTGCTAGCAACCAAGTAGATGTTTCAGCTTAGTCTCCTTACCAAAAACACTGTATGAGAGAGTCAAAACATACCTGACAATACATAGGGAAAAATACCAAAAATCAAGAACAAAACTGCTCAAGTGCTGAAAGTGACTGAAGCGTACTTTGATTCATTCCCTTTTCTTTCTTCTACAGGCCATCAGGGATATTATCCCCAAAATAACTTTATGTTTGTGTTTTCATTGCCTGTTTAGATTGGGAGAACTGCAGCTCCCACCTTTCAATTCAGCACAAAACCCAAAAGAAGCTAAACTATGTCCACTATTATTCTGGGGAGAAAAAGACGAAGAAGGGATAAAAATTAGGGAGGACGGGGAAGGTTGACAAAAGGCCCAAAATGTTTTGTTGTTTTTTATTTTACTTAGCTGTTTGTCTTTCAGCAGATTCCACAGCCCATTTTGGTCTTTGTGGGTTTTTTTCTTCTCACTTAAACAATAACTGGTAGGTCTTTTTTATAAATGATCTTCTGTGCGAACAAGCTCAACTTCTTTGTTTATTCATCCCAGGATACAATTACAAAACACAAAGCACCACAACTTATCTATTTTATTTGCTTTAAACTAAAAACAAACAAACAAACAAGCTAACAAAAAGCAACAATTGGCCATTTCCTGAGCTATGAACAACACACAGGTAGTGAACAGAGAAGACTCAAACACATTAACTAGGACTTTGCACTAGAGCACCACAAGACTAGTGGTTTAATCTTTATTCTGGGCCTCTGGTTTCAATCACAGTTGGTGGCACTAGGTTCCCTACAGACTCTTCATCCTCAGAGTGTCAGAAAATTAAACATGATCCTCAAGAGATTTAAAGATAGTGACTTCACAGTGTGGAAATTAAAAGGTATCCCAAAAATGGGTTTGCAAGATTAGGTGACTTACAGCCATTAGTAGCCATAGCTAAAGCACTACAATTTGGCTTGTTTTATAAGTTCCTCTTTGTGTCTAAATAATAAAAATAAATAATAATAACAAATAATAAAAATAAGACTTTTCTATTATACCTTCCATCCAATAATCTAAGAAGCTTTCCAAACGCCAAGTCAAACTTTGCAACTGTTATCTCCAATTTTACAGACAATGAATTTGAAGGACAAAAGTTAAGTAACTTGTCCCATGTTATACAAGCAGTCTGTGGCAGAGCTAATTAGATCTCCTGGCTTCTCAGCTGGGCCTGCTTCTTCTCATTTACATTAAGGGCCAATTCAACTTTCTGCTTTTCAGTTTTCCCCATTAGTAAAAGAGGGTAGATACTTTACCTCACAGGGGTACTGTAAAGCTAAATTCATTCATGCATCCATTTAAAGTGTTTTGAGATCTTCCTGTAAGAAATACTATATACAGGAGTCAGCATCTTTAAAAAAGGGTATTTCGGATACTAACTTTAAATCTGTATTTACAGATCTAAATGTATTTAGAAACCTAAATAAGTGACCTGACTTTCAAAAGTGCTATGTAGCTAGCAACTCCCACAAATCAATGAAAGATGCCTCTTTTTTTAATGCCTAATTATGGATATAGAAGCTTAACACTAAGCACCTTAAAAATCTTGGGTCAGTATGTGCAAAATATTATCAGGTAACGTGATCACCCTTCAGCAAGACATCTCTCCCTGGAGACCTTTTCACCTCAGCCAGTGAATTCAAGATTCCTGTCACGGTGAAAAGCACTACTCACCAGACCATTTTTTTGTTCCATTAAGATTCTAACTTTGGCCTGTTTGTTCAGTGTTTCTGTATCAGCTTTGCAAGCAGTCTACCTTACACTTCATTTTTATTTCCACATGTAAATTGTCTCTACAATGCCCTCTGCTGTACACAGAATACAGCACTGCTCTCAGAAGAGCACCAAGTCTAAAGTGTGATGTGAGGGGGGAGGTGTTCTATTTCAACTGCATCGTTTGTCCACCGGTTCTCCTTGTTCTAACCGGTAGCTGTAGAACGTCACAACATTAACTAAACCAACACTTTGATGTAGGGAGAGACTGCACAAACCACAAATACTCAAAACAAACAAAAAGCAAAAGGCTACATACATCTTAGCAACCAGGCTGTTCTAGATGCTGAATTGGAATCCATAGGAAGTCAAGTCTCACTTGCTGTGAGATCTTGCTTGCTTCCCAAAATCCAACCAGCCCCTTGTTCATTTTAATGTAACTGCAATGACTATTTGAAGCAGAACAACAAATAATCATGTCTCTATGCTACACCTAACTCCATTTCATTCTTGAGTTCAGTATCCAGCCAGCTCCCGCTGCCACTTTTTCCATTATCCACTCTCTTAAGTATGTCTAGAATGTTGAACCTTGGTCTTAGAAGTGTAGTAATCATGTATACTCACCCATGTAACAATATAAGAATAGGCCTCATCCCCCAAGCAATTACATCAAAACATGTCATCTATACATCATACTCTCTAAAGAGATATAAAGATCCAGGTGCATTCTAGATTTCTATCTGATTTCTCAAGTTACTGATTTTTAATAGCATGTTGGTATGAAAGAAGGCAGTAAAGCAACCAAAGATTGTCCTAATCTTTAGAAAAAGGAATGGGGAGATGGTGAGATATTATAAACCATTAAACAGAACCACTGAAAAAAACATTCTGGTATCATCAAGCCCATCTCAAAACTCACATCTCCCTGCACCCAAATCTTTCCAGTTTTTATCTTCCCATCCTGCACAGAAGCCATCAAAGATGTATTAGGGGCCTTGGCCTTCCATGGCCAAAGAAGGGCCAGGACAACTTGGCCCCCAATCTCAGCTATCTAGCTTCTTTGGGATACATGTGCCTATTGTTAAGTGTTTCCACATACCTTCTGCGCCGATTGACACAAGCTTCACTCCTTTGCTGGCAATAAAATCCAAAGCTTTGTTGACGTTAGCAATTTTATGGAAGCGCATTTTTCCTCTGTCTGGTTTTGGTAGCCTTTCCCCTGTAGTACAACAAAATTTAATGCAATCATCCTTACAGGCACCTTGGCACAACCATGCAGGTGATTAGAAAAACTCAGAGAGAATGCATGCAGTTCATCGTCTCAAACCTGACCATTTTTCTGGGGGCATTTTTCTGAATGAATGTCAAGAGCATTTGAACAAACCCATAAAAAGCAAAGAAGTTATTTACTTTGATCTTCCAGGACAGCAGTGAAACATGAATAAATTTTTATGTTTGCCCAAACAGAAGAGAGACATAAAGACATTCAGTTTTCATATTTTATTTTGCTGCTTGTGGCTGCTTTAGAGAAGATGAATGTTAAAAAGGAAGGGAACAATCTCTTCCAGTAGGATTGGCAGAGATGTACAAGAGGGAACAGGAGTATCCTGGGAAATCTGAGGCTGTATGTGGTTAAATAGGCCCAAATCCCAGATCTCAGGATCCTGTGGGCATCGCTGCCTCTTCCAAACTTATCTCAACCTCATTTATCACTGGCACACTCACTTATTTCAGTGATGCTGCTGCTACTGGCTGGTACCAAAGGCTGTGTCTTTTCAGATGGTCAAGATATGGGAATAAATCCTCCATATACGAATTCAAAGTCTTCCACACAAAAACATGACTTAGAAAGGCTCTTTCACTGGCGCCTTTCCTTTTATCATACAATATGCTTCACATGACCATCCCCTCTTTTAATGGGCATCCTCAGCTAATCACACAATCTGCTGGTGACTACCTTTGAACATCAGAGGAAATAGATGATTTAGCTGGTTTGCCTATATAAATAGGAACTCTAAGTTGCTCAGCAGTATGGAAGATCAGGCCAATAATTCTTTAAGGTCTCTAAATACTGGGCCTGATTTTAGGCATCAACTTTTTAAAGGCTTGCCCAGTAATTAAAAAGAAAGAAAAAAAAGATCAAGGGGTTAAAAATAGAATATGATGTTTTAAAAATAACTTCGTGACCTACACATGGGGAGAAAATGTGAACTAAAAGACTTAGTTTCGAGGGTCTGAGCACTGGCCCTACATCCCTCCAAAAGCAATATCACCTGAAGCCAAATGGTTCAGACAGCTGCAGAGGTAACATGGCTTTAGGATATCAGCTTAGAAACATAGAACCCTGAACTCCTGATTGTGCAGGTAAGGAAAAGTGAGTTGTTTTTTAGCTCTTTTGTTTTAAAACATGTTCAGTTCTAACTTTTTAAGCCCACTCATGCATTGTGCTCAGTTTTGTTGTTGTTGTTTTTATCTTTAGCAGTTTTCACTCATTTAAGAGAGTACTTCATTAGTCTTTCCTACTGATGATATTTCAGGTAGGCTAAGGGGCGGGAGGAGTTTAAAAAAATATATTTTTTAAATTGCCAGTCTAAGGATAACTTGAATTTCAAACTTTGTTGTCCAGTAAGAAGATGTGGTCATTCAAAGGGTTGGGTTTTGTTTGTTTGTTTGTTTGACACTGTAAGAACTAGGCAGGTGCACAATTCCCAACTGAAATAAGCAGTAATGGTACATAACAGTGCACACAATTCCCAGCTGTGTTCAGAAAACAGATGGAGTGGAGACAGAAAAGGAAGATAGCAAAGTAGTAAGAACCTGAGGGATAAAGAATATTTATTTTCAAGAATATTTACAAAGAAACTGAGGTGAAAACCCACTTTTTAATTTTCACTCTCAGGTCAGATGCAGTGAGCCATCCATTTACTCAGGAGACTTAAATAGGGGCCAGCAGATCCTCCACAGAACAGTGAACAGATTACTTGTCAGCCTGTAATTTTGCTTGTCCCAGGTATCTGGAAAACAGGATTGTTTCTAACCTCTCTGAAAGATTAATTTATGCTATAATTTTGCACTACAAAAATCTCTAAAAGGTTCTAGAGTCAGAAGCAGCATTCACTAAATGCATTATATTTTAAAACACATATTATTTCCAACAAACCTGAAATGACTTCCAAGAGGAGCATCAGTTTAAGGCCGTTCCTGAAGTCCTCTTCAATGTTCTCAATTTGTGTGCCTGCTTTCCTTAGGTGGGAATTGCACCAAGCTGTAAAGGTCTGTAATAGTAGTAAAAAAACAAAACACTTGTCTCCATGGCATCTTTCAAAGCAACTGCTAGGCCATCTGAGCAAACACTACAGATGAGAATGTCAAGGCTACCTGAGGTTTACTAGTAATATTGATAATCCTGGCTGCCATATAAGGAGAGATTAATAAAACTGGGACTTTTCAGCGTGGAAAACACACAACTAAGATGGTGGGGGGTTACAAAATCATGACTAGTGCGGAAAAAGGGAATAAAGAAGAGTTATTTATGCCTTCTCATAACACAAGAACAAGAGGGTCACCAAATGAAATTAACAAGTAGCAGGTTTAAAACAAACAACAGGAAATAATTCTTCACAAAATGCACAGTTAACCTGTGGAACTTCTTACTAGAGGCTGTTGTGAAGGTCAAGACTATTATTGGAATAAAAAAAGAACTAGGTAAATTCATGGAGGCTAGGTCCATCAATGGCTATTAGCCAGGAATAGTGTTCCTAGCCTCTGTTTGTCAGAAGCTGGGAACAGGCAACAGGGGATGTATCTCTCCACGATTACCTATTCTGTTCATTGTCTCTGGGGCATCTGGCATTGGCCATTGTTGGAAGACAGGATACCAGGCTATATGGACCTTTGTCCTGACCCAGGATGGCTGTTCTTATGTAATACTGATAAGTGCCTTTTTAAACTAACTTTTTATAAAGGAAATAGACCAGTTTCTTGAAAGCTTTGCAGTGATCCACATACCAACATTACAGAATCTGCATGACTTCTATATTTTAATATGGCCTGATTCATCAGGGATTGTTTTTTTGTTGTTGTTGTTGTTTGTTTGTTTTTTTAAGTTTGGCTTCCTCTTTGTATTAACTTCCAAACAGTGACTACAACTGATGGTGGCTACAGGAATGGGTGATGGGTTTGGGGGACCTCTGCAATGAAATGCCCACTTTAGAAATATACATTTTATGGACAAATATGAACCTAGAAAAATACCTTTCAGACCAAAAATACCACTCAGCCCATGGAGGCAGAGCTAGCCTTTTTCATTTTGGTCTGTGTGGGCACAGAAGTGATTCATTAATTTTTGTTCTTGTATTTTCAGGGTACTCCCTGGGAAACGAAACATATAGTCTATTTGTAGATTTAAAATGTTTAATAAAATGTGAATTGCAGTTATATTTGTGCATCCTTATATGCTACTGTGGGCCTTGAGAAGTCAAGGTGGGTGGGCTGACTGGGTTGAACCAAGAGTAGCCAAGAATTGCCTCTGCTGCTTTTAGTCCTGCATGCAGCCAACAGGCGACAAGGCCAGGGCTATATGCTGTCAGCGCAGCATGGGCTGGCATACTGTGACATCACGCTGCATGGACTAACTGAACCCTTGCAGTTATAGCATTGGCACAGTGGCATTGCACCAGTGCAGAAAAATAGAACCGTGGCACTGAGCAAGTGCAGACAGGAGTGTGGGGTGCATGCCTGTGGGATGTTGGGAAAAGTTGTGTGTGTGGATGTTGTGGCAACTTAGGAGGAGCCCAGTTGCAGAAGAGAAGAATCTGGAGAAAGCACCAGGAAGTCAGTCTGTATGCACATGGCTAAAATGTGAGCATCTGTTGTAACAACTGCGTACAGAAGTTACCTTAATAAAGAACCAGTTGAATTTTACAAGCATGGAATCTTGGGAGTTATTACCCAGTATATGAAAGAGACACAAAGTATTTTACAGTCCTGGTAGGATGCTGCAACACACAAATGCTATAGTGTTAACAAGCCATAAGAGCTATATTTTGGCTTTCAGGCAGATCTTTACAGTGGAAGCTGTGTACTTGCACACTACACAAGAGGTCTCAAAGTTTGGCTTACCAGATTCAGACACAGTGCACGACCTCACTTCCACCATCATTTATTGCAGGAAGGATCTTGGCCAATGTCTCACCTTCCACAAGAATACACTGTGCACTCCATATTAAATAAAGCCATAATTTCTGTTTGTGAGGTAGCAGGGCCATGTTCCCATCTCCGCCTGAGCCCTTTCATTTGGGAATGGCTTACATTGCTTTTTGGTGCTAGCCTGAGTCCTTGAGCCCACTGGCAAGGACCAGATTGGACTAGGTCCCACCCCCAGAAGAAAAAGCACCCTCTCCCCCAACACGCATGTGACCCTGCACATGGTGGGCACAATGAAGACAGATAGCAGTATCTGGCATAATCATATGCTGCCAGAATCTAGCTTGTTATAGTTTTTGTCCATCTCCAGTGTCTTTGAGTATGTTTAATCAGTATTAGGATTAAAAAAAAGCACATTTGCAAATACCATAAATTATAATACTCATCTTATGACAGAGAGTAATGTAGAAAGCACAGATGAAAGCACCCAAAGATAAAATGCACAGGAACTTATTACATGGAGACCTTGCATAGCCATTAGAAAAGCTAACCAATAAATAGCTGAGACTTTCACACTTTCCAAAATGATAGCTATCTATTTACTTTCAGATGTTACAGTATTTTGCAGAACTGTTTTAGGTGCACAAGACTAGGCTAGATCAGAACAGCCAAGCAGATGTTAAAAACAGACCTGCCAAAATCAAGATGAGACAGATCTCAGTGCTATGTTCATGATCTCGCCCATTTCAATATAGAACTTTATTAAGTTTATGTTGATTTCCTACTACTTATGCAAATTAATTGAACTCTCACATGTTGCCATTAAGGCCACAACTAAATTAGCAATGATATTAGTAACTATACGCCACAAAATCCAAATTAGATCTCCAAAATAAATAATTTACTTCAGATTTCAGTTTCCGAAGGGAGATCAGTACTTTTTGCTGCTGAATAAAGATTCATCTGATACTTGAGTTCATCATACAAGCAAATTAAAATAATCACCCACCTCAATTTCTCTATTCCATAGTGCTCAGATACCACAACCATTAGCATAAGAATCAGAACAGAATATTCTGAAATTAAGTTTCATCGGAGGATCCCAAGGAGCTTTGCAAATGTTAATTCAAACAACATCTCTTAGATATAATGTAATAAGATTATTTAAGTTTTCAGATGGATAAACCCGGGCACAGAGCTGTTATACAAGCTGCTCACAGTCTAGGCCCAGAATCTGGATGTTCTAGAACTCAGCCACAACCCTCCTCCCCCATGATCTAACCACTAGATATGACTGCTTCTTTATTCCCTCTCATCTCTTCTGCTCTGCCTGCCTTGTCTTTTTTGTAATGTTACTGTTCATTTTATAAAGATGTTGAAGATGCTTAGCAGCTGATGCTGCTACTTTGTCAAAAAATAAAAGATGCTACTTTGGCCCAAACAGTGAACAGATTGCCAAAGGATCAGTTCATCTCCACTTTTATAGAGTGTCTTACAATGCTTTTTCTGTGCTGATTTTTGCTTTCCTTTTTATTGCATTTTTATGTGTTTGAACATTAAATCAGCACTGATCCACAAACTGAAAATTACCAACATAAGAGATGGATTCAGACCTGTAGCCTCTCAAAAATGGTAAACTTAAAAAAAATAGCTGATTACCCACAAAACCTGAACAACAGGTTAAATGAAGTTCTGTTGAAGCACTATTCCTTTTTTCTGGTACTGAACCCACTTATACCAGGTCTGAATTTGTTCTGATTGGTCAAGGTCATCAGAGAAAACTACAATTTCTCATAGCAATCTATTTCGCCTATGAGATTTCTGTTACGTTTGCACATGAAATGCTGTTATCTGTATCTCAGTTATCTTGTGCCTCATTCAAAGCATAACTAATGTACATTCCAGCAAACTATCTGCATGTGACTTTATAATCCAGTAGCTTCAAAAAACTGGCTTGTTTCCCTAGGACTAAACATGGCTACATGGGTATCATTTAATTTCAAGGGAGAGCCTATTACAGATATCAGTAATGCCACGCATAATAAGTGGCTGAACAAAACTCACTGCACACTTAAACATTCAATGCCTTCCCCAGACCACATTTTATTTAATACTCATTCTTTCACTCTCTTCTTATGATGCCATTGGTTGAGAGGATAAATTGACCTTGTTCTGGCTCTGACTAATAAATATTACTACAAATAATCAATAATCATTAATCATTGAATTAAGAATTCAAAGGAAGTTCAGATCTTGGAGGTCAAAACACAACCAACATATAACATTATACCTGGCAAATCTTTAATCCTTTGGGACTGAAATTAGGATGAATTAGGAAAGACACAGAGGGGTAGCCGAGTTTTTTTAGGAAGAGAGTTATTTTCACTGTTGACCTGTTGGGAGCCTATCAAAGTAGCAGATTGCCATGATGAGCAGGGTGGAAACGACACCACGAAACAATAGCACACAGTAAAATAAGTGCAAATAAATGTCTGGAACTTTGTCCTTTTGGGGTTTAAATGTATTTGAAAAAATTAGACACTGATTTTTTTAAAAAATGCCCATCGGAAAAGCCACCATTACAAGGAAACCTGTACTGTCACTCTAAGCAGAGAGAGCAGTGAAAGAAAGGCAAGGAATTTGAACTACAGGTTGAACCTCTCTACGCCAGCATTCTCCTGTCTGGCAACATCTGTGATCCAGCATGATTTTAGTTAGCTGGATGTCCACTTGTCATGGGTTAAGTTTCCCGCAGTCCCGTAAAGTTTGTTACAGCCACTAGTGTTCTGTGATGTTATTTAGCTCTAATTTACCCTAAGGCTATGTCTACACTGCAGCTCTTTTCTGGGATATGGGAAGTATCCCGGAAAAGCTATGCCACATCCAAGGAATGTGTCCGCTTTTTTGAAAAAAATTTTGGGAAAGCAGATGTGTTTTTTCGCCATCCCTGTAAACCTCGTTGTACGAGGAAGAAGGGATGTGCCAAAAGAGGAGGTTTTTCCAAAATTTGGCACTTCGTAGATGCACCAAATTTCAGAAAAGCCTCTTCCAAAAGAAAAGTCGGAAAAAGATATGCAAATTGCAATTTGCGTATCTTTTTCCGACTTTTCTTTGTAGTGTGGACACAGCC